CTCCCCCCCCCCCCCCCCTTTTTTTTTTCCTTGTTGGGGCCCCTCTGAATTGCAATCAGCAATCTATCTGAAAATAGAGTATTTGCTTGTGCATTTTCTCGCTATAGATTTTTAGTTTTGCATGGACCTTCAGTTCATGCATTAGAACTGTACTTTTCCTCGGTCTTTGTTGAACACGTTGCATTGATAAAAATTATTTCTGAGGCATGCATTGTTCTTATTATGACTTCCCAGATAATTTGTAAAACTTGTCTTAACCTCGAATTGCCAAGAGATATTTTGACAGTCTGTTCATGCGGACTTCGGTACTAATAACACTAGTGTGCACCCCGTGCAAAGCACGACTCTTATTATGAACAGTAACTTTTTAGCTTTCCTTCAAGTATAGAGGAGTAGATTTATAGATTGATCTTACCATTTAGTTTGTACCGTTAGAAGTAACTGACTGTGAGCCTAACATATTACTTCTGGTGCATGCGAGTTTTTCCCTTTTTGTTGTGGCCTTTTCTTAATTGCAATTGGCAAGCATATTTTTTGCCCATGTATTTCTGCTCTTAAGATTTTTATTTTTAACGTTTGTATTGGATCCTTAGTGCATGCATCAGATCTATGCTTTTTCTAGATGGTTCTTGATTGAACACATCAAATGATAAATATCATTTCTAATGTAGTGAGATTTTTATTTTCAATGTTTGTATTGGACCCTCAGTGCATGCAACAGATCTATTCTTATTTCATGATTTTCCAGACAATTTTGCTAAGTTATTTGGATCTTGAACTGACGAGAGAGATTTTGTTTACTATAACTCCTGTATGAAAATTCGGTGCCATTTAAGTTCATTACAAGCCAGATTTTAATACTCTCAGTAATATTCTGTTATATTCCGCACTTATTTTGATGTCTATGAATTCAAACTGGTATGGTGGTATAAACTGTTATTGCTAATTTATAGTCCTGAAGCCTCTTTTATGTACTTTTTGTGCTTCAATGAACAAGCCTTACCAGAATAGCTGTCTTTGGAGTATTATTTGGTTTTAGCCCTTCTAGTTTATTTGATCTGAACTCTTGTGGGACTAACTGTTTGTTAGAGTTGTGATGCTATGTATGAGTATCTGTAGTTTGTGCTCTCTTCCTCCTTTTTATTTTATTTTATTTTGTATTGCTGTTTAACTATTTTGCTTGTCAACAGACCAACAAAGAACCTACTGATACTAAAGGGAGGCCAGCATCTCAGGCGAGAGGGGGCCGGGGTGGCCGGGGGAGCTATTCTTCTCATTATACATCTCATGGTATGTGTTCTATCATCTATGTCTATACAGAGCTTCACATGTGAACATTTTCATGGCTGAGCAAGTAGGTACATCCTTTTGATTACTTACCATTTATGTATGTGGTGCTTTGATAAATCATAAAGCAACCAATTGTGATTGGATTCCTAAACATTGCTTGTGTTGTCTTTTTAAGAACCCAATCATACAACTTTAGGATTCCTTTGATTATGTTGAATAGTCCATTACATTTACAGGCCTTCTAGAACTTCATCTTCTAGCAACTATCTGTTTTCACTAGGATCGAATACTGAATTGGGCAGTGCAGTTCTCAATAGTAAGAGATTCATGCTTGATCTTTATTTCTTTACCAGGACTTCTTTTGTATTTTAAGTAAGAAGTACAAAGTTCCAAAAATTATGAGTGTTTTACTAGAAAAAGTGTTATGGAAACAAAATTTAGTATCTAATTTTTTTTATTTAAAATGTATAGATTAAGAAAATGTTAGAAAATTTTAGCAATGCCATTAATAAAGAGTTTTAGTTATAATTGTAATTTGTTTAAAATGTTTAACAAACCTATTAACTATGATGCTTTACTGAATACCTATGTTGCATGGGTACTTCTATTTGAAGTCGTACCTGTGTCCAACTAGTGTCGTATCCGTACCTAGCACCGCAACTTCAGTGGACACTCTTTGGATATATGCATACACTTATCCAAACGTGTACTCAATTATATAATTGTTTTAAGTTAAAACACTCATCATATACTTCTTGAATATCCTGTGCTTCATGTACGCTTCTTGAATACCTATGTTGCATGGGTACTTCTATTTGAAGTCGTACCTGTGTCCAACTAGTGTCGTATCCGTACCCAGCACCGCAACTTCAGTGGACACTCTTTGGATATATGCATACACTTATCCAAACGTGTACTCAATTATATAATTGTTTTAAGTTAAAACACTCATCATATACTTCTTGAATATCCTGTGCTTCATGTACGCTTGTTGAAACTTGTTGGACATAGGTCAGGTTTGTTTTAGCCCCACCCAATTCAAAACTATGATTTTAAAGGGTCTTCTGGATATCAGGTTAAAGAACGAGTATTTTACTAATATATAGATCTATATAATAAAGAAATATAAATTGTTTCATAACATGTGGATGAAAAAAGTAATATTGATCGCATGTAAATTATTATTATATATGTACATATGTATGTATGTCCCCATACCCTACCTTTTACAAACTTAACTGACAACGTTTATATTTCATGGAGACATAACCAAATTTATTTTCATGGAGATACCCTACCTTTTATTTTCATGTAAATTATTATTATATATGTACATATGTATGTAAATTATTATCGTGTCCTGCACCCACAATCGCACCCGCAGCTGTACCCATGTAACTTAACTGCCAACGTTTATATAACCAAATTTATTTTCATGGAGATATCCAGGGGAAAGTGCACTTGTGCCCATGTAAGGGCAACTAGACGTCATCAAAGAATGGGATATTGCCTTGTGTGATATGTCAAAAGAATCTTGTATGGATTTATTCAAAATAGGCGAATATATAAGGCAAATCATGAGATATTATATAGTATGACATAGTTTGGTGGTTTGGTATGTGATTGTTAGCTTTCCCGCCAATGCTTAGAGAGTTTTCCTTGGTATACTGGCAGTGTTAATACTGATAATAATAAGTAAAAAGATGGTATGTGCTACAGACCCGGTGATCTAGGCCATGACAGACATTGACCGAGCTTTATTAAATTATCATGTTGTATTGATTTTGCTGTGAGGCGCCAACCTTTCACACTTGAAACTTTTTTCTTGATCTATTGTATTTGTAGCCTTCTGTTGTATCTTGTATGATCCAACCAAATACATCACCATTGAGATACTGTATGTTCAGGATACAAGATTATAAATATTGGACATGCAGATTAAGCAGTTTTTAATTATTAAAGTACCAATCCATGTATCTTGGTTCCTTTTGGTTAGATGCTGGTGGTGAAAGGAACATTGGCAAGGAAAATGGAGCACATCTTTCCACAGATAAAGGCATCACATCTTCGTCTTTGCCCCCTAAGGATGCAGAAAGCAAGTCGACTATTCATGTGTTGAGGTATATTTTCTTGCTGATTTGGGCTGTAATTTGGAGCATCTTTTGCTTTAACGAATAATATAGTTCATGCTTAATTATATATAAGGTTTCCTGTTTTTATGCGGTTGACTTTTCCTAATGCTTGAAGCGAAACATTTTTTCCACTTTCTATTGGATGCAAAAAAAAACTTAAGACTATATTATCATTTTTAGCAGCTCTAGAACTCAAGATTTCTATAGAATGTATTCATGATTGCTCTTCCCAAAATTTGATTTATTTATAGAAAAGTTAAAGCCAATCAAATCTCAATTATTTGAGATGATTGTATATATCTTTTTTATGCATTGATATTTGTTAGCTTCATATTTCTAGTATCATTTACTACAAGGTTTTAAATATCGGTTATCAGTGATTTATCGGACGACCAAAATCCTTATCGGATAGCGAAAATCGGGGATATAGAAGATAAGTAGAATTTGTCGGAGTGATATACCGTATGATGTACATATATAATATAATACCCCAAATTGTAATCTAACCATACTCCCCTCTTAGTGATATACCGTATGATGTACATATATAATATAATACCCCAAATTGTAATCTAACCATACTCCCCTCTTTCATTCTCTCAACCTTCACTATATATAATATAATACCCCAAATTGTAATCTAACCATACTCCCCTCTTTCATTCTCTCAACCTTCACTAAACAACCAGAGAAAAATCCAACTAAATAGTGAATATCACCTGTTGCTAGAACTTCAGAAGTTATGTTGAGGGCGTGGCGTTGATGGGGAGTCCAAATCGAACTATCGAAGTCACAATTGATGATGGCGTCGATGGAGAGAGCTCGACATCGATGGAGAGCTCAGCGTCGGTCGACGTTGTCGAGTCAATCAGTTATTGATAGCGTCGATGGAGAGAGCTCAGCGTCGGTTGAAGTCGTCAAGTTGATGAAGTTGACGTCGATGAGAGAGCAATGTCGAATGGTCGAAGTCGATAGCGTTGAGGTCAGTGGAGTCCACATAGGAGCAGAGGTGAGCGTCGAAGTCGATGGAGGCGAGCGTCAAGGTCGACAGAGTCCAAAGAGGAACGAAGATTAGGGCAGTGGGCACAGCAGCACAAATGAGGGGAGAGAGAACGGAGTATTTGGGTGACAAAATCGGGTTTAAGATTTATTGTAAAGGACGAGTCGGGTCGGGTTTCAAGTTCACTCAAAAACTGGCCATTACCCAAAATCACAACCCATAAGTATGGCCCGATAATTCCGATTTTTAGAGCCACTAATGTCGGCCGATAATCATCTTTATCACCCCATTATCGCCGATAAACCCCAAAAAACAATAACCGATTTAAATTCTAACTTCTCTTACCGGAAAGCTTCCAAAACCAATAACTCGGGGAGAATATCGGATTATCGGCCGATATTTAAGACCTTGCTTTATTGGAGGAACTTAGTATGTAGAAACATCATTTCTACTTCATGTTTGTTTGTGAGGATTCTTTATTTGTTCTTTATTTCGTTCTTTTTTGTGTTTTGGGGGGAGTGCAGCTATAGACTAAGATATTTTAACTTTGGTTCTTCAAAATGAATTACACGATGAATTCCTGAACCCAATGTATAAAAAGAAATTTTAAGGTTTTATATGAAAGTTGAAACTATCTAGAATATGTCACTGTAGCAAATTGCTAAGCACCCATGCGTCCTGGCTCTATGCTAACACCCATTCTATTGATAATGTTCCTATGTCTATTAACTGCTGCTGCTGCTGTTCTCTTCTTTGTCATTATATGACATGAATACATGATACTTTTCTATGTATCCTTTTTCTTATTGTGTTAATTCAATCTTTTCGTTGTTTTACTCTTCTCTTCATGTTTACATGCAAAAACAGACTCACACCTTACAAGCACGCCTACCTCTGATGGCATTATTTTTGCACATTGTCCTTTACAGTTCTGAAACTGGTCTGCCAAATGGTCCTGCAAAAGTCGGAAATCCAGTTCCTTTGCAGAGATCCACATCCAAGGATTCTAATGTCAGTGGCACCCTCTCAGTTAAGGATAGTTTGGGAGCCACCTTAAATGGTGAGACAGGGAAGCCTACAAAAGGTGACACCAAAGGTTCTCCTTCTGTGCGGCATGTATCTACTTCTACCAGTCACTTATCATCCCCAAAACAACCTTGTGAGTCTGGCCTCTACGCCTCAACTTCAGACCCTGTTCTAGTACCTTCTCTTGATGCACGCATCACAGGTAATGTGGGTACCATCAAACATGAAGTTGGGGGCCAGCGTGCTCATAAAGTTGTTTCTCGTGATGTGTCTGGTTCTGTGCTGTCATCTTCGACTGGAAAAGGTTCATCTGAAGTGAACAGCTCATGTGTGCATGAGAAAATGCAAGCGAAATCTCTGGGATTAGAGCAACCATCAGATGTATCTCTTACACATTCTTTATCTCGCACTAGTTCTGCTGGCAGCAGGCCATCTTCTAATTACAGTAATCGGTCACATCAGTTAAATGGTCCTCAAAAAGGCACAGTAACAATTCTCACATTTTTTATAGAGAATTTCTTTTAAGCTATTTGTGTTATTTAAGCACACATGGAAGAGGCTCTGTGATCAGACATATATAATAGGGTTAATTGCGGATAGACGCCCTGTACTATAGCCCAATTGCATAGAGATCTACTGTAGTTTTATTTGTGCAGATAGAATCCCTAAGTGACTTTCAACTCTTTATGAGTAAACAGTATTCACTCACGGGTTCTACCCGCACTTGGGCGAAGAGTATAGGGGGTCTATCCCCAATTGGGCAGCAACTAAGCCTATATACTATGGCTATCTTCAATATGTAGGGCCAGGCATCAGTGCTATCTTTAGATGGTGTTTTAGTTATGGTTGTATAACAAGGATGGTTTATATTTCTGTTAAGAGTAAATATCATATAATATTTACTTTTGTTCCATTCCCCTCTGCTGATGCACATGGGGAATGAAATTACAATTTTCTTTTTAGTTGCATTCATGTTGTGTTTCATTTTTCAACAATTATCACGTAATTTAAGGCTCTAAAATATCAGGTTTCTAATATTTGGCACTAGCTAATATATATTTCCTTCTTTCAGCTTCTATTGGCCCATGGTGGAGGTTGTTGTGATGTTTTCTAAGGCTTCACTTAACAACCGGTTTTAGACAGAGTTTTATGCAGCTATCCCATTATAAATTCTCAACAGTATGGAGTTAATATTTCTTTGCCAATATACTGCTTATACCGTGGCCTATGCTGCCACAACCATCTGAAAACCTATTCATCCGCCAGTTCCAACCAACTGGAACACCGATCCACCCTCCATGACTTGGGCACTTGCAGCGGCCTTTCGCATGGCCCAAGAAACTGAATACCTATAATTTTTTCCAGCATCATTTTAATCTTGTGATTACGTGTCTTATATTTTGATATTCTACCTTGCTCTTAGATGGAGAATTAGTGGTATTGCTTTGTTGCACATCATTTAGTTTACTCAGACCAAGCTGCATAGACATAAGTTAGCCTGCAACCAGTATTAGCAACGTCAATATTGGCTTTGGTTACTCTAAACTTAAGTCGCACAATGACATTAAATTAACCAACTCTAAATTGATTTCAAATGTTTGCTTAGGTTAGTGACAGTCCTTTCATGATGAAACTAGATGCATGCAGATCCTGGTCTGAGGCAAAAGTTATGTCTAGCAGTGTTCCTAGTCTAATAAGATATTCAGATATATTACAGCGGAGAAGAGAAGCATCTTACATTTCTTCAGAAGAATATTGTTTTTCTTCTCAATGAACAGAACAATTGAAAATACTCTGCATCACCATCTAATTTCTAAGATATGCTTCTGATACTTTTTTCATCATTATATTCCTCTGCTTGTTCTATGCTACAAAATAGTGCCAAAGGCACTAGTATGGTGTCATGTGATGGTTCCTTCATCTTTTTATTGCTACCACTTTGTATCTTTTTAAGTATTCTTGGAGGATTTAGTATTCTAGTGATACTTTATGGTTTATGCCTGTTAGGAATTCACGGGGGGCTCTCAACACACTAATATCATGCCATGTTTTTCCTTCAGCAGTTGGTCCTACAAAGGAGTGGAAACCAAAGTCAACAAATGTAAAACCTGCTCCATGTTTTTCCTTCAGCAGTTGGTCCTACAAAGGAGTGGAAACCAAAGTCAACAAATGTAAAACCTGCTCCAGCGGTGGGAAAATTGGAAACTACTTACAAAGGAGTGGAAACCAAAGTCAACAAATGTAAAACCTGCTCCAGCGGTGGGAAAATTGGAAACTACTGATATTGAATCTGCAAAACAGGAAGTTGTTGCTCGCACACTGCCTGCGTCAAGTTCAATATCATTGGATGAATCTACTACGAAGCTTCATAACAAATTGGGGGAGTTGCAGTTTTCAGATGCTAAACATGTTATTATTCCAAATCATCTGCAAGTTCCAGAATCTGAAAGAACTGGATTGAGTTTTGGAAGCTTCGATGCAAATTTTGGACTGTCTACAAGTTTTGTGAATGATACTGAAAGCGAGAGAAGTTCCGCTGAACTATCTGAGACATCTCAGGAAATTGTGGAGAAAGCTGGAGTGCCTGCTTCAAGGTAAAATATTGTTTACATTTACTACCTCATATTTCCAAGAAAAGTCATGTTATTATTATTTTTTTTCATGAAATCTTTTCTAGTGTGACATTCATTTTTAACTTAGGATTTAATATCATATATAAAAATAAGTGATGCTAAAAGTTTGAGCACAGGCACACAGTAGTTTGGTGATGAAAAGAATCTAGTTAAAACATGGCTCAACAAGGAACACCTTGCATCCATGCTGCAGGGAATTTGGTTCCCGTTTAGTCTTAAAATATACGCAACTGTAGTTTTTTATGAATTTTATTGATTCCCTGGGTTGAATGTATTTGTGAACAAGCCAGTTAGTTCTGCTTAAGCTACTGGGGAAGCTGTTGCCCTTTGTATTAACAAATTGAGCTGTTATTAAGGAATCTGTAACACATACTAAATATCAATAATCTTGAACTTCCTTTAGGAGATATCGTTATTCATGCCCAGTTGTGCCTACTTTGACAATAGCATCTTCCATTCCTTTCCCACTACACCTCCAAGCCAAACATCCCCTCCCCTTCCGCCCCTTATCCCAGCATCCCAAAAGACAAAGGTGAAAATGAAAAACCACCATGTTTAAGACCAACAACACTCATCCATACACCATTTGGAAGGTGCATGAATTATGATTTATGATCCAATTCATGGTGCATTGCCATCCATGATTGCTAAGACCCAAGGAGGTGTAACAGTATTTTGCTTCTCCTTATTGTACTCGATGTTTGAGACTTACCATTGGCTTCAAAGCTTTAAGTTTTGAAATTTATGATTTAATTTATTGTTTTTTCATGTTTTCTTAATCAATAGTTGCCATCCATTATTAATTATGATACCTGAGCTTACTCTCTCTCTCTTCCTCTGCTCTCTCCTCTCTATATATATATATATATATATATATATATATATATAATATATATAGAGAGAGAGAGAGAGAGAGAGAGAGAAATGGAGAAACTTCATACCGTCTTTCCCTTTCAACCGCCACCGCCGCCTCTCCCTTCACACCCCCCCCCCCCCGCCCGCGCTTCCCCTTCCTTCCAAACCGGCCGCTGTAGCCGCCTTTCCCTTCCAACCCGCGCAGCTCTTCCTTCTAAAGGGGGGGGGGGGTCGCGGCCGCATCGGTGGTGGCGGTGGCGACAGAGGGGCAGCCATGGAGGGGCCGCCGGAGCGGGTTTGGAAGGGGGAGGAGTGTATGTATCATGAGGGGGAGAGAGGAGAAGAGAGATTGAGCAGTAAATGAGGGAAGAGAGAGGAGAGAGAGATTTTTTAAAAAAATAGTTTTTTTATTTGCAAATTTACCTCAACCCCTCCAATTTTGATGTGTGCGACCAGCATTCGTCCACGTCACTACAAAGCCATTGGAAAACTTGTACGCAAGTTTCTCCATTTTTCTCATATATATATATATATATATATATATAATCATGTGTAAATTTAGATGTCTTCAAGTAAGAGTGTGTGTGAGAGAGATAAGAGAGAGAGAGAGAGAGAGAAGGAGAGAGAGAGAGAGAGCAGTTCGGTGCGTGTGTCATGTGCGTCTGTGCATGGGTGCGTGTGTGCATGAGTGCGTGCACCCATAGTCATCATAATGACCCAAGCAAAAACTTTCAAGATTACCTCGATCTATGGCTCCAAGTAACATTTTGATTTAGCCAGCCTCCTTCATCCAGCATACTGTTCAAGTTAACACATCCAGTCTGCATACCCATAGCACAAACCAAAACATATTATGTATCTGGTATTACTGCTCATACTTTTTCATTAGCAAAAGTATTTTGTTTTGTTTTTATTCACAGAGTATAGGCATGCACCAGAGGATTCTCTTGTTTATGAATACATCTTTATAAATTTACTTTACATACATACACATATATTCCTATAGTGCATTATTATGATCTATCTGGTCTTCAATATAACTAGTTAAAGTGGCAGAATTAGTTTCTGTGCTATAGTGCATTATTATGATCTATCTGGTCTTCAATATAACTAGTTAAAGTGGCAGAATTAGTTTCTGTGAAGAAACGCTCTTTATCAAATTTCTTCGTCTTCAATATAACTAGTTAAAGTGGCAGAATTAGTTTCTGTGAAGAAACGCTCTTTATCAAATTTCTTCCAAGTACTTCAAGATAACTTCAAGTGCAGTGACTAGTTTAAAATTGCATATTCCGCTCTCCAAGCTACTTTTGTGGCTCCTCTGTAATATAGCAATTGATAGTCACTGCATGGCGTGCATGGTGAGCTTCTACTGTGTAGTTTGTACAAACATCTATTAGCTGTCACATATCTTGTTTTTACATAAATTCATATTTAGATGATTGAAAAGTTGCTTTGAACCTCTATTGCTTGTTGATTGCTGATCACACGTGTTACAATTTAGCTTGTTTAAAATTTTTTATTAATGACTACAGCAATCAGAGTGCATTACCATCTGTTCCGGACATTGAGGCAATTGACCTTTCCCATTCACCAGCAAAGATGCCTGAAAATGTAACTTGCAGTGCTGATCATCCCCAGTCACCAGAAGTGATGCCAGAAAGTGTTACGTCCAGAGAGCCTGAGAGTTCCTCTACTGTCCCCATGGATCAAAATCAATCAAAAACAGAGGCAGCTTCTGTGCCAGAGAATTCTCAATATTCAGTTGTTAATACTTCTCAAACCTATTCCAATTTCGGACCGGTACCACCGATGCTTGGGAATCAGTTTGCAACAATTGACGCTGCTGAGCCTCAGTTAGGGGATGGCACTCGAATTCCAAGCTTTCTTGTAAGTATATCTTTCAGTTTTATGTTTGAAGTTGGATCCAACTCTCGTGCTACATCCTGCCTTTTCATTATATAAATCCTGTCTATACATTGCATAGAAACTTCTCCCTTCATATTTACTGGAAGGCAATCTTTCAGTTCACAGGGAAATACATTAATTTTGGTGCAAGCCAGAGGGAAAGAAGAGGTAGACAGAGAAAGTCTTGAGCTCATGAGATCAATTTCAAACCAGCAAACTTCCATTGAATAATTCCTTGAAAACTGATCTCCATGAAAGGGGCTTAAGATATAGAACATGATATCATGAAACCAAATAAGAACCAGGCAAACTATTCAAATCCTTAATAACTTTGGATAACATTAGATTTTACTGTTCACGCTGTCTCTATTCATTATTCAGGTGAATCACAGCTTCTTGAACGTTCTCTCTTTCAACATGAAGTCTAAGTCTGTTCCTGGCAAATCTGGAATGTTTTGCACAAAGTACATTCAGAATTATTAAGATTTAAGGTCCATTCTAATGTTAGGAAACCTACTATTACTTTAATCAAACCACATTAATTACAATACATCTATAGCTCCCCCTCTTCTCTCTGCTATTGGATCATGTAGTGCTCTTATTGTTGATTTCTGTCAAAACAGAGGCCTTCTAATAGCGCACTGTCTAGCCTTCCCATCTTCCTACACTTTCTCTACAGTTGATAGCCCTCTCACAACCTTCGCCTTTGCAGCCTGTTTAAAGTTATAAACCAATATTCCATGTTTTTTAATAACCATTTTCCTATTTTCTTCCCATCTTGTACATCTCTTTGTTGTTTTTCTTCTTTATACTTTTTTGTTCTTTCGTTTCTTCTTTAGATCTTGTTCTCATCATAAGTTTAGATAAATGGAGGTACTTCTTAATTATTTAATCAGTAAATGACTCTTCTATCAATCTAGTTCCTAGTACATGGCTTATATTTGACTTAATACAAAGTAATAGGTTGTCAAGTATTCTAAGTTTGAATTACCCTAAAGAGCTAAACTACAAAAGGAACTTCTATTGATCAAGTTCCTTCTACAAGTCTTATATTTAATGTAATTTGAAACTCACATCTTTTCAACTCTTAGTACACATGAATCTTGTGTAATCTATGAATTATTGTTTAGATCTATTAGCATTTTTATTAGTGTTTAAATGAGGGCTGTAGCCTAGTTATCCACATAGGCAAATGGTGTGTCATAAGATGAAGAAAAAAGTAATGAGAAGCTCAAAATGTTCCTTTAGCTGTGCTCTCTTTTCCTTCCCAGTAAATTAGTTAGCCTTTATTGGTATATAAACCGATGTCATTAGCAGCAACCTAAAACTATTAGTGCTGTCATCTGGAGCATGTTATCAATTAAATTTAAACCTTTCAGACTATGAATGGGAATTTTGATTGTAGGCGTAACAGCTTCCATAATTTGGAAAGCCATCAAAAGGCTTTCGTGTGACAAACATGCCTAAACTGCAATACTACGCGTCATGACTTCTATCTCGAATGATGATTTCTAGACTCACCCAACCTGGCCGTTGCTTACCAGCACTTTGGAAGCTCGTGTATCAACTTGGACTGGTGTGCATTAGATATGCATTATCACATTTTTAGTCGAGATCTCGTCTCCATCGCATTTACCCCACATCCTCATCTTACCTTTAGAAGCTCTTTACACCTGATCAATTACACCTATACTGTTATTCACATAAGCAATTTTTGTGATGCTGCGGCAAGATAAACTGCATAAGTCAACCGATTCTGAAATGTATTTCTTTAGATTGTTCATATTGTAATGTCATATGATTTCTTGTTATTCAGGTTCAGCAAACTTTTGATGCTGCTGCAAGCTGCGCTTCAATGTATAAGATCTACTGATTATTTTTGTAATGTCATCTGATTTCTTGTTATTCAGGTTCAGCAACCTTTTGATCCTGCTACAAGCTATTACACTTCAATGTATAGACCTACTGCTGCTGATGGTGATGGGCGCTTCTCTCCCTTCTTTGCTCCTGCTACCAAGTATAGTGGGAATGTTGCAGTCTTACCTACTCATACTTCCCAGACATCACAAGAGGTATGTTCTTCAAATAACATCTATATCATACTTTCTTACATATTCGAAACTCAATCAGAAATTTTGATGCTTCAATACTTCTTTTGTACTTACTAGGTTGTAACTAGTAGAGGTGGAAGCTGATCAGATAATTAGCAAATAGCTCTGTATTTATTTGTTCAAATTCCAGTGAAGAGAAATCAAATTTTTTGGTAATTGTATGTTGAATGAATTGAATATGAGTTTTTTATTGATCTAATATTTGTTTGCTTACCAAATCACAGACTTGTACATCATCATCAGCATGGTGGAATCATTTCCAAATATGAATTTAAATAGGTTGAAAAGAATCAAATTCTTTAATCAAATATAGGCATCTCTGTAAATATTCATATTCATAAACCATAGATACCAAATTAGCATAGTCAGTTCGATTCTAATCCAGCCTCTTTTTTTTTTTTTTTGGTACCCCAAATTATGATTCACAGGCGTCTCTTCATATTCGTAAACTGTGGATATTAAATTAAATGAGCTTATTCAGTTTGATTCTGTTCCAGCACTCTTTGTACCACTTCATTATGATTCACAGGTGTGTCAATGGACTGGTCCAGGTAACTTTGTTCTCAGAGTCAAAATATTGGGCTGTTTCTAAGAACAGAAACTTGCCTGAGAACCATAATTTTTAAAGATAAAAGTCTAATTTTCCTCAAAATCTACTTATTTTTCAGTATGGGGAGTTGACTTTACTTTAAAAACCTCAATAGTTCATTGTCACCATGTTTAAAAATCTGCAACATGACCCCTTAGTATTGGTCTCATTACTTGAAGATGTCTAACTTGAGTAAACTAATTTCATCAAGGACTAGAATGCTAATTTCATCTACAGAATTTATGGGGATTAGAGACTGTTTGGTTATTGATAAGTTCAGGTATGTAGGATTTGGGTAGGCTAGGTTGTGGAATAAGAAGTTACAACTCATATTTGGGTTCCAAGCGGCTTCAAGAGCTCAAGCACCCCAAAATTTTCTGGTTGTTGGTCGTGGGTGTAGCTTACATTCTGGTAGTGGTTGATTCCCCTTATTTGGTGGTTTCTGTTATATATCCTTTTATTTCCCTCATCAGTTATTGATATCCAATTATGGCACTGTATATAAATTTTGAGCTCTTTCATTATTTTTAGTTAATTTCACTGCAATGATATTTTTAAGAGTTTACTGTTCATCATTTGGTGATACTGATACCGATGCTTATAATTTTTTTGTCATCTAGAGTGTAAACTCTTTGGCTCTATCATCAACTGGGGCTGCACCTCTTGTCACTTCTGGGATGATGCAAAATTCTCTTGCTGTTAGCCAGCAATCAGTTCCTGTCTTTCGGCAGCCTTCTGGTGTACATCTTCCTCATTATCCTCCTAATTACCTTCCATACAACCAATATTTCTCTCCGTTCTACATTCCATCTCCATCTCTGCACCCTTTCTTGGGCAATGCTGCCTTTCCCCAGCAACCTCCAACAGGAAACATATATCCGGCTGCTGGCGCTGTAGGTACAGCTCCTGTGAAGTATTCCATCTCCCAATACAAGCCTGCAACTAGTGCTGCTAATCCAAGTCACATGGGAATGCCAACTGGATATGGAGCGTACGCTCCTGGTGATGTGACAACTGGCAGCTCAACTGGAACCGAGGACATTGCCTCATCTCAGTACAAGGAGAACAATGTCTACATTGCTGGACAGCAGGTGCTTGGTTTTCTTATTCCTTTTTTCCCCCCTGCCAATCCAATGTGTGATTTCTGGCAACAATGTTCAGAATGTTAAGAGTATTTCATTTGAATTACATGCTAAAGTTGATTGTGTTTCTTGTTTGCTTCTCTTTCCCACACAGACGTATTGTTTTACATTTTATTTTTACACTTGATAATTCATAGCACTGAAGTTGTTTGACCACTTGCTAGTGTGTCACGCTATTACATTGTTCTCTGAGATTCCAAGTTGCAAAATTCAACTTTCATTGCTTACATTTTTTATGTGCACACGATAACTCAGAAGACATTGAACTCAAAAAATCTTTGAGGCGGTTTTCTCAGAAAACTCTCTTTAAGATTGAAAACTACTGGTTTTAGGGATTTTAGGGAAGCCAGCAACAAAATAAACTTTGAATTGGGATACCTTTCCTCTCTCCTAACTCAAAATGAACAAATAATTCTTTTAGGAAATAATTGATTTTATCAGTTACATAAACTGGAAATCTGTTGATTTGAGTGATCATCTTTTGGCTCAAAAATTGGCATTATTTCAGTGAGATGGTTGACCATGCGTAATTTAATTACTAAACATTATGTCTACTGCAGTACCATTTCTATGAAATGAATTGAAGGTAGTAATAGGCTCTTAAAGAGCCATCTATTTCTTGTTTTCTAGTTTTTTAGAACATTATCTCAAACAGAAAAAAGAACAAATCTGTCCAGTTCAAATGCAGCCTGTTTAAATAAAATACTAATATCTCTGGGGAAAAAACTCCTCGGATATAAATTAAACAGTTAATATTATCACTCATGTAGCTGGCCCTTTTTCTTAAAAGACTGAACCCTTGGACACTCGATGGGGATTGGCAAATTGTTAGTTTTATGCAATGTTTGTGGCCTTGAACTTGAGTAACCAAATCATGAGCCTTTTCCTCACTGTTCTGTCATATTCCATCCTTCGTGTGTTCACAATTTCTCTGCATTACTGTGAAATGCTTTTACTTCCATGAGTCACAAATTATATGAACTATACAGCTTATTCATGAAAGATTCTCAATTTACTAAATGGTGATATGTTCAAATTGGTTATTGGTATTATTTATCTTGCAACTATTCCTTTCCATGCTTTTTCTAGTGGATGAATACGAATACAATAACTTCTCACTTTCTCCTTTTCGACGCCAAGTTTTTCTGTTAGAAATTTGTCCCCTGTATTTGTTTTATTTCCAAAACTTTCAATAAATAATAATAATCCTTCATCTTGCTCAAGTCGTGAATGCTTGTGCCAATCACTGCCAAGAATCTCTATTCTTTATAAGTCATATTTTTCCGAATTATATATTACTTTGATTTGTTTGTCCTGGATCATTTGGAATATTTATTCTTCTAATCAGTGATCATAGAATTTCAATATTTTTTTTCTATTACATCTAATATGTTCTATTATTCTCAGAGTGAAGGTTCTGTCTGGATTCCTACACCAGGGAGAGACATTTCAGCAATGCAGGCTACTTCATTCTACAATCTCCCTACTCAAGGACCACCCATGGCCTTCCCTGGAATCTATCACCATCCCTCTCAGGCTATTGCTGCTGGCACAGTCCACCCAATGCTCCAGCAGTCTCAGCCCATTTCAGGAACCGTTGAAATGATGGGCCCTCCTGGTGGCGTCTACCGACAGCCGCAGCGTACTCAAGTAAACTGGGTTAACAATTATTGAGCATGTCACTACTTTGGATTGAAGATCTGGGCATAAATTCATCAGAAGATCGTCTGTATGAACTTGGCCTGAGAAGAATGTATATATTAAGGACGGCCAGGAATTTTACAGGGGGGAAATTCAGGGTGAATGATGGAGTTTCTCCTGTGACTGATAATAGGCAATTTATAAGCTAGTTGAGCAAGTATGTGCAGGTCTGTAGTCTTTGTTTTGCGTGTTTCTTTGTTTTCTGCTAGCCATCAGAATTTACTGTGGATGGTTTTTTCATTTTTTATTTAACCTGTTTATCTTCTTTCAATCCTTTTGGTAGAGGTTCATACAAACTATGGAAGGTAAGTTTTTAAGTTGGTGGGTTTTTATTGTCTCCACTACCTTGTGTAAAGTGAATTTTGATAGTAAGAAATGTATTACAAACAGTTGTATTTGACATAACAGCAACTGCAGCATATTTTCCCCTCTATGTAAACCCTGAAATTTAGTGCCTTGCTTCTTTAAAGTTCTCACTAATGTCAATGTTACCATGTTTATATTTTGGTTTGTTTTTGTAAAACACTTGGGAGTGTTTAACTTTCGATGGTTTATTGATGGGTAATTTGTTCATTGCTTTAGCGTGTATAGCAAAAGAAAGTATTAAATGTGTGAATTGCAGGTATATAGTCGTGTACCCATTTATAAGATCTTTCCTTGTCATCAAAGCATGACTGCTCTTGCAGAGCAGCACAAAATCCTGATTAGAGTTACGCCGTCTATTCTTTTTTCTCTATTGCTAAAGTTGCATCCGGTTCAGTTTAAATCTTTATGTGCTATAATTGTCTTGAAATTATGAACTATTTTTCTGCAGAACAATCAGTATGCTTGGGCTCCTTCCATCTGTTTATGTTTGTTCAAGTACCATTGTAGGAGAGATACTAACTCACAATAACAAACGCTGTGTTGGCTTCACCTGTAGCTTTGTGTCTTTGCTCTCTTTTAGTTTACTCTGTTTATTTCTTTTTAGTGTGGAATCTTTAGTTACTCTGCATTTGCCATATCTATCCTATTGTTTTGTTCTATTGTATATTGGTGGGATGTAGATTTACTGAAGCCTTGCATCATTTCTTTGCAAGGACTTTCCTTTCTTTTTTGTATTATCCTTATTTACATGGAGTTGCTTCGCTTTCTTGTTTGCCTTTGTAGTTTTTTTTATGGAGAGACTAGGAATTTATAATAAAACAACAATATAATAATAATAATATATTATATAGTATATATTATAGTAAATGTAATATAATATAAAAATTAATATATTACATAATAAATAATATAATATTATAATGTAAGATAATTTATTAATAATAAAATAATTTATTGCTGACAAATGTTAATGTAATAATAATATTTTTAATAATATAATAATATTTATTTATATAATAAATTATTAATACACTATTAAAGTAATTATTAATAAACTCTTAACATATTAGAAACTATAATATGTAATATATACATTAAAGTACAATATAATATTATAATACATTATTCTATATTATATTATATTATATTTACTATTGTCATATATTTAATACTAATATTATAATAGGTCAAACAAGTGTTAGCCAAAAACACTCAGTGTGATGTTTTGAAAATACTTTTAGAGGAAAGTACAACATAATTATGTTTTTTTTTATAAAAACACAACATAGAAAACACCATGGCATCCAAAGGAAGCCTAATATTTTCTGCACTTTCCCCCTATGACATGATAAAATTACATGGAGTCAATCACCATTGTGCCAGTCCATAAGTACAAAAGATAGAAGTATCCTTCGGCAATACATGATTGATTATACATACAACATGTTCTAAATGATCTCCTATTTCATATTGCAGATGTCAAGGGCAAATAGGTGATTTTTTTTATTTTTTTTTTTGGGCGGGGGGTGGGTCCGGGGGGGGGGGTGTGCGAGAGAAAAAGAAACGTCAAAGGAAATTTGAATGAGTTCTCTGCAGGAGATAAAATTATCTATGCACATGCTGCTTGCCCTGCAACGTCTCCAATGGAATAACGCCGGCAAATTATTCCCATAGTAACACCGATAAATCCCTGTCGCAATACTCTAAATTGGCCTTCTTATCCTGAACATCCTTCGATTTCATCTAACCAGTTACGCTACTGAAAGCAACCTCGATCAAATATTCTATAAGAATATACTTTCTTTAATGGGAGGAGTTAGCAACGTAATACTATAAATTAATAAATAAATAAAATCCAGGAAAAAAACAAGAAGAGAAAAACCTAGTCTAATTTTTTTTTTATAAACCTAGTCTACGTAAAGAATTTACAATTTCAACCTCCCAATATGCAAACAAAGTTATACCTCTATTTTATGGTGTCCCTGAGTCCGTTATCGAACCGCCCGAGTCCAAGTAGCCTTACTCGCATCATCACTATGCGTTTTGTTAAAATATGCGTTCAATATGTAAAATATCTTTGCAACCAAAGTTTAAATTGGCATAACCCAGGCACCTTTAAGTACGTCGTTGAAATTTTTTGAGTTATTCGTTATCACATACAATAGCGCACCCCACTATCTTTAGTTAACGCCCATCGATCTTCGTATTACTGCTTCAGGTTTTGCTCAATCCATACTTCAACTAATAGTGACTTAATTTTCTCCATACAGTGCTCATACACCAAGGTGTCTGCCAACCTGGCTTGCCACAATCCAGTTGTGTACTTCAACTAATAGCGACTTAATTTTCTCCATACAGTGCTCATACACCACTGTGTTAATTGACCTCTATGTTTTTTCTTATAATTATCTCTTATATGCCTCAAGCAGTATCGATGATGATGTGGTGCTCCATGCAAGGCCCGTGAAATTCCTCTCATTCTGTCGAAAATAAAAGTAATCATTTTCGAACTTTGGATAGTAGGAATTAACTTGTAAATACATTGAAAAACCCACTTCCAACATGATGTGTTTTCTACCTTAACAACTACAAAGGCCAACAGAAATAACTCACCACTTGCATTTACACAGGTCGCAACCAAAAAACGCTCATTCGTACTTGTCGTATAAATGTGTGTCATCGATACTCAAGAGCGGAAGACAAAATGAGAAACCATTGGTGAATTGGCCAAACAGACGTCGATTTTGTTAATTATTTGGCATAGAAAGGTCATTTTTACTAATTATTTTTTAAAAATAGTCTTTTTTTTTTCTTTAAATTCTCCAACGTTTACACAAAAAAACCATTACTGAAACACACTAAAATAGCAACACCAAACTGGCCCAAGCCTTTTTAAATATAATCAATATAAGAAAACCGTACTAGTGTTCACAGCCACCTTGCTTCTCCCGCCACTTTTTAATTCATATAAAGACCCCTCTCCTCCCATTGCCGACTACTAATATTCCCCCCATGAAAATTCTCACCCAACTTTTTGGGCCCAAATACAAGCTCCGATCCCCATCAACCCTTGTCAAGCGGCCGCCACCGGGAGTCAGTGGCGCAGCAACAGCGCGACGATCGCCAGAAACGCGTAGTGTCATCCACCCAGGGTTCGGTCGAAATACTACTACATGGCCATTCCTGCGGCCAGCATCCTAAACAAGTACCCGAAGTTCGTCCTGGCCCGGCCTGAGGTCTTCTGCCGGCCGTGGGATTCCCTCGTCCGGCCGGAGGAGGTCTTGACGCCTGGCGAGAAGCTCTACGTCGTGCCGCGTGGCACCGTTAGGAAGCTCAGGAAGAGGATCCGGCGGCCCTCTGCTCGGACTCCGGCGGCGGTGACCAGAGAAATAGTGTCGATTGACGAGTCGTCGTCGTCTCCAGCATAGATAGTTTTGATTCTAATTTTTGTCCGGCAATAACTGCTTGTAATCTGAGGATTTTTTTTTTTGATTCTAAAGCATTGTTGTGGTTCTTTTTTGAAAACGCTGATGTATGTTGAGTTCAGATTTTATCAGTGCATGCCAGCAAGCGGTTTTGAACCACGTCTGTAATAAAACAACGAGGTTTGCTTGATCAAGAATTGAAAGTGCAAAATTATGTATTTAATAAGAAAAATTCCTCAATGACCTAAAATATGGGACCAATAGGGGGGACAAGTGAGGTGTCCCCTCCTATTGGATAATGAGTTACGACCATGAATAGCGAAACTCATTATCCAATAGGAGGGGGACACCTCACTTGTCCCCCCTATTGGTCCCATATTTTGGGTCCCTGTAGCAAAGCTCATTTAATAATGTTGCTATGACGATCAGGTTTGCTTGATCAAGAGAGATCTGAACTTTTTCTTGATAACCGCAATAGTAAGCACGAATATATCTTTATCACATGGACTACTTATAAACAAATTTATTTGAGAGCTTCTTACATAACCCATACGAATGTCTTCTATCTTCTCAACAGTAGAAATTGAAATCTCTTTGGCAGAAAACTGAAAATAGAAGATTACAAGACTCTAATTCTAATATGAACCCACAAACAAGTCACATAGAAAATATCAAAATTAAGTTAACAATTGTTAATGTTTCTGTACACAAGGCCCACATTGTGGGAATTAAGGGTAATAAATAATCAAAACTGAGGGGATATTCTAATAAATGGGTTAATATGGTTAGTTAATGCAAACACTTTTTGGCTCGTCAGGACGTTAGCTCTTTCATGCAGAATTTCCAGCAAAACTACCATCTGACTTCTCGCTATCTACAACGGTTTTGGGTTTCGGAGGAAGTGAGTTCTGATTGCTTCCTGCAATTGAATCTTGGGACCTCTTTAAGTTGAGGTAAGTATAGAATGACATCCCTCCGAGAGCCATTGCAGCTCCGCAAAGACTAATGGATCCTGGATCAGAGCTGAAGAAAATGTATCCCCCAAGCATTATAATGCATGTCTTGAATTGGCCCAGAACGACGTGGGAGGTTGCAGATGTGGCGCTGCAGTAATTTGAAGCGGTGATTTAAGAGAACTATGAATAATAAGAGTTAATTGCGGATAGAACCCGCAAAAAGATTGCATATGAAAACATATAAGATGACTTATTAATTGGATATCACATAAATGATGTATTTGGTGCTTAGTATCCTAGAAACTAATGGAAGATAAATGTGAACTACGGAAATAAAGAATTCAACTTAGTATCCTGAAGCCTCCAAAAATTTTAGCAACTTGGAGGCCGGAGAAATGCAACTCCAGAATTCAATTCCACTCTTGTCAAATGGACAGAGGGAAAGCATCATTTTCCTCAATATTCCGTTTGTTTATTCGTGACATATGCTCAACAAGTATTCTCTTACTCGTGCATAGAGCTGTCGGTATATGCTGATACAGATTCTACCAGATCGATTAATGCTGAGATGACCCAACCAAAACTGGTTTATACCATCTTAATGGCTAATAATATAACCAATACTAGCCAATATAGTGACTGACGTACCGTAAAGGGCAAACCTAAGGTTTGAAGTATTAAAAGCGAATGTTGTGATTAAATTGAATTATTCCGATTACCCTTTTTTTTTTTATCCAAAACTACCAAACTTGAGAAAATTTCTCGTAATGCAACTTACAAGCTGTTCAAGGGGAGCTTCAAATTAAAGGTAATTCAACAAACAGAATAACCACAAGATTCTTCAGTAGATAAATGAGTGGAATAGTAAAACGATAATCCGTGCACCACTAATTGAATCTTAAAGACTTAAAGTCTCACCCTAATGCCAAAGCACCAGACCACTGAAGGAAAAACCCAAATATAGCCGATACAAAGATAGCTGCTGTATTGTTAAAACTCCAATCAAACAGTAGTACACCAGGTGGGTCTAGTAAAGGCATCAGGCCCATGAAGAAGAGAACAGTAACTGGGGTGGTTTTCCACATTAACCTGATGATAAGTACAAATTTAGATGCACAAATATCTGCAAAAGAAAAAGTTAATTTCTAGAAGCAATAGCTTACGCGAGAGCTGTCCAACTGCCAGTTTGTTGTAGGTTAGACCATAAGATTTTGTTTATAGCGCTAGGAACGATCCATGCCAATGCTACACATGCACCAAAAAAGTTGAACTCAAGATCGGTGACAGTTGCAATTGCCACGCCTACTGATACCACAGTGAGTGCAAGAACCTGTACTGTCGAAAAATGGAATTTGAATCATTTATCAAAAGATTAGTGTAAATTTAGAACATTTTGACATGCCATATATCTACATACATGCTCAATTGCTTATGTATACTGCTGCATACATAGACATGAACAATAGTGCAAGTGAATGTCTTCATTAAATTATTAGGCCCTCTGTTTACATAAATTTCCTATGTTAAAAATGCTAAGGTACATAAATTGTACGGTTCTATAAAAGCTTTATGAATTAATTTGAGGTTAAAAGAAATATTGAGGTTCTCTGGTTTCCTAGGGTTTGTCACACGCTAAGTTGCATGGATACGGGTACAAGTATGCGTATGGGTATGGGTACGGGACACGGATAATGTATAAAAGTTAGGGTATGGCACATGTCTATATAAATATTTTTATAGACGTACATATATTATACATCGAAAGTAATAAATTTACACATGATCAATATTGTTTTTCATTCACGTGTTAAGAGAATTAAAACTCCTATAATTAATTTTTTTATGTTTCTTTTATCATGTGAATTATAAATAGGGAAGCCATCATTTTTAACTAGACGCCTAAAAAATAAACTTTTAAAAAAATAGTTTGAAACCCGACCTACATCCAATGAGATTTAGGAAGTGGATGTAAAGTGTAGGTTATTCATCCAAGAAGTGCATGAGAAGTGTTTTAACTTAGAACATGCATTGCATAGGTGAGTACATGCACATGCATTGCATAGGAGATTACATGCTGAAATAAATGTATTCATATATCCAAGGAGCGTCCGTGTTGGGTACTGGTACGGCTTCGGTTAGGAGTACCCACGCAACAAAGGTCACACCAATGTACCATTATCTCCCTCTCTACCAAAGCAAAAACTCATACTTTCAGTTTATCTTTTTTGCCCAAGCATAAGCCATCTCCAGTTTTACTCCCAATAAACTATTTCTTTTACTTAACCCAGTCCTGTTTGGTTGTGCACAATAGTTATTATATTTTACAGCACAAATGAGACCACTGGAGCAGTATGTGAATAAAGTTCAAAAAAATAAATAATTTATTGGACATGTATCTATGACACCTATGTTTTTATCAAGAAGATCATAATGAACCATACCTTACTGGGAGGCACCTTTTTCTTGAAGAGAATAAATTCAGCTAGAGCAATTGTTGGGGTAACAGCTATCTTAGCCATCTGATAGAAACCTACACTGCAAGAGAATAATACTAATAAAAATAAAAGAGCAACAAACAATTGAATTTGCCTAGAAAAAATAATCAGAAATTTCACATAGATAAGCATTGGGTATCTTGAATAGAACTCTCACCTGTTATGCTTTAAGCTGATATTGGCAAGTCCAGTGGAAAACGACATGACAGCACCCAAGAGGAATAAAGAAGAGAAGGGTGTAGATTTAGAAGGAGGGGAAGCTGGAAGCATGGAGAGTGCCTTGAAAATGGCCATCAGAATCCAAGCAGTTGCATAGTGAATTAGTGAAAGAGCAATTGGGAAGTTGAACCCAACCTGGCCCATCACCTATAGTATACCAAAATATCATAATTAAGTATCATTTGATTTGATTTTTTTTTATCTTCTCCCTTATAGTTGTTAAAATTGTAACAATAATTAGACATTAGCATTATTATTTTCGAACAAAGCCTGCAGGCCCGGCACAATGTGAATATTATATACAGAATAGAAACTAATGCAACTAAGGAAAAGAAAGTAATGGTTGGTTAATCAAATAAATAATTAAGTGGAAATGAGATATGGATAACTGACCAGTTTATTTGCCATGATTATTCCAACGGAAACAACAAAATTGAAGGTTAATGCCACGACTGGTCCACATACTCTTTGCTGTTGGCGTTTTGCTCCATCTGAAGTGTGAAAGTCATTGTACAGAGAACTTCGCAGTTCTTCCAGAGCACGGCCTGGAAATCAGTTCAAATGTCAGAAGTTAGAGAAGTTGTATCCTTAACTGAGAACAAAAGACAATTAATCTACTAATATGGCCAGACAACAGTGCTATTTGAAAAAAAAAAATTGGTACCAAGCATGATCAGTCTCCTACATAATTTGAAAGAAGCGACTGGACCTTGATGACTTGATGCAATGCCAAGCTCAAATAATTAAAAGACAGTGGTGATGTTGCCAGATGATAATGATAGGTCAACGTTTGTGGAGTAGCACAATTGCTTTGTTGCCAAGGAAGCAGGACCCATATGGATAGTCTTGTGTCCCTAGTTTACCTTTAATTGCAACCAAGGAAAAGCTAACTTCTTGAAATATAATTGATGTGTTTACCATTTGATTGACAGTACATAAAAATGGAATATTATGAATAGTCATCAAATATCCAAGAACATGAGCATATAAGAAGAACACAGAGAGGCTGCAAGGGTTTCAAGAAGACAAGAAACAAAAAAACCAAAACACCAAAGCTATTATCATAAATTTTTAGGGTGGGCTACTTTCAAGAAGACAAGAAACAAAAAAACCAAAACACCAAAGCTATTATCATAAATTTTTAGGGTGGGCTACATGAATCCTACTTTCACTCAACCCTCAAGCTAAATTTATGTTAGAAAATAAAAATATAACACTCCACCCTCACCACAGCTTCGGGGTTTTGATGTAATGATTAGAGAGATTTTAAGATGATATCAGAGCAATCCAGGTTCAAATCCCACTTGCCACGAATCTAAAGAGGATTTTGTAAAAATTAATATCATTGCGTGAGTCCAGGTTTCAGCCCATAAATGATGCTCAACATGCAGAGCCATGCTAGAATGTAAAATATAGCTCTTGCAGTTTTAGAGTTTTGGTGTAATGGTTAGAGAGACTTTAAGAATTTATCATTATTGTGATAAATATCTAACTGAAGATATTATTTTGTCCATAGTGGATAGTACATCATCTTGACTGGATATAGGTCATTACATTTCTTATAGAAACTTTAATGCATCATCCATAATTTTAACTGGCTCTTGTATAATTCATTTGTTATTCACTTGTATGGTCTTGAGATTTCATCATGAGTCATACTATAAAACTTTGAGAAAGGGTAATTGAGCAAAGACTAAGAAAAGTGACAAGTGTATCTAAAAGCCAATTCGATTTTATGTCCAAGAGGAATTATGGAACCTATACATATTTTGAGACAATTGATGGAGAAATGTAGAGAAATACATATGGTTTTCATTGACCTAGAAAAAGCTTCCGGTAGAATGCCTAGAGAGATAATGCGATAGGTTTTAGAAAAAAACACGTATCTAGTATGTGTGTGTTGATGTGATTAAAGATATGTACGATAGAGTAACTAATGAAGACATCACACAGCCTCCACTTCACACATACTTTCACCGCTGTCGTCGTGTTGCTTCAACTTATATTTGGTTTTAATTTTGAGAAGGCTTGGAGTCTAGCTAGTGTTACTTTTATTCTCTTTATTGTATTTGCTCTTTTTTAGTCCCACATCGGATATGGGAGTGAACTTGTAGTTGTTTTTTATTCTCTTTATTGTATTTGCTCTTTTTTAGTCCCACATCGGATATGGGAGTGAACTTGTAGTTGTTGAAGGCCTATTTAAAGAGGTCAATTGGAGTGAACTTGTAGTTGTTGAAGGCCTATTTAAAGAGGTCAATTCTATGAAATAAGGCAATGAATATTTAAAGAAAATTTTGTTTCATTTGTGAAACTTTGGATAATTGATTTGATCTCTGAGATTGAGTCAATGGTGGTAAAGCCAAGGCCCGAGTTACGATTCGTGGTCATATCTTGTTAATTTTCCAAACCCTAGCTCTCCCCAAATCTTTGTTCTTCCCCAAACTTCCTAAATCGCTAACATAAAACCCTAAAGTTCCCATTGTCCCGCATCAGCAACAACTAAAGTAAGAACTGATGAAGGAGAGACTAAGTCATTTTCTATAACCACAAGTCTACATCAAGGGTCAGCCTTAAGCCCTTATCTTTTTACTTAAGTTATGAACCGGCTTACTAAACATATTCAGGATGAAGTGTCATGGTGTATGTTATTTACTAATGATATAGTATTAGTTGAGGAGATTAGAACAGATATAATTTTTAAAGTAGAAAGGCGAAAACAAGCTCTTGAAACTCAAGGTTTTAGAATTACCAGAACATAAACAGAATATATATGAAATGCATTTTTAGTAAATCTACAAGGAGAAAAGAGCCTATAGTACATATTGATAGCCAAAAAATATCTAAAAACAACCAGTTTCGCTATTTAGGATCAATCATTCGGCATGATGGTAAGATTAAGAATAATATTATCAGTCGAATAAAATAAGGATGGTTAAAATATAAGAGTGCTTCGGGAGTCTTGTGTGATCGTAGGATACCTGTTAGACTTAAGAGAAAATTCTAAAGGGCAGTTATAAGACCAATAATATATTATGGATCAAAATATTGGGTAATTAAAAAACAACAAATTTAAAAAATGAGTGTAGCGAAAATGAGAATGTTGAGATAGTCTTATGGGTATACACTAAAATAAAGGATAAGAAATGAGTGTATCCGTAGTAAATTAGAGGTGCTCCTATAGAGGATAAAATGAGAGAGAATCAATTAAGGTGTTATGGTCATGTATAACGTAGATCTCTTAGTGCACCGGTTAGGAGAAGTGATAATATTATAGTTAATGGAGCAAAGAGATCCAGAGGTAGACCTAGAAAGACTTGATTAGAAGTAACTAAGAAGGATATGATTATGTAATTGGAAGTAACTAAGGATATGGTTATGGTTAGCTTAACAGAGGAAATTGCTCATAATAGAATGGAATGGAAGAATGTGATTCATGTAGCTGACACCAAACACTTGGGATTGAGGCTTTTATTGTTGTTGTTGTTGTTGTTGTTGTGTTTTTGTTGTTGTGGTCTTGAGCTTTCATCAGCTTCTCTGATAATTATTACTAAGCTCTCCGCTAAACTGTTATGTATCTGTTAAAATCCTCCACAAAACCATATATGCCCTCCTAGAATTCCCTATATTGTTATTGTGCATTCACCCCAAGGCCTTGATTCAAAGCAATCTCATTCTTGCGCTATTTGGGTTAACCTTGAGAATACATCTTTAATTATTTATACATGCAGAGTGTGCAATCAACAAGCAACACAAAGAAACACACAATACACATCTCACTAGTCACATGGATCATATATTTGTATTAACAAACCTTTCATCACATATAGGACATGTAAGCTCTATAAACAAAATGAATACAAAACATGAGATCACCCAGGATTCCGTAATCCAGATGCAATATAATATAACCTCAAGTTAAGGCTTTTTTCTTTCAATTAAGAAACCTAAAGATGTTTTCTTTCAAAGGCAAGTGATAAAGCGGAAAAGAGAATCCAGGAATTGCTTTTAAGCATATAGTTGAATAAGAATCTGGAAGAGAGAAAAGACCGACAATTCAAGCTATTCTTTTCTTCCACATCACTAATTCCCCCGTGAAGGTTACTCCTAATTCTTTACGATTTGCATTCTCAGTTTTATTTTATTTCATACTAATTATGATACAAGCAGTGGTCGCATTTAACTACCAAGCCAGCTAAGAAAATCTCACAAATATAGCCGAGTTAAATACACAGGTGTACAAATTAAAAAATTCCCAAGGCAAAAAAAAAAAAAAGAAGAAGAAGAAGAAAACCACTGTGTTGACTAAGCCTATTAAATTAAATAGGTCGGACATAATAATCCAATTGAACACCTGATGGCTTCAGAAGTTCAGACTAAACTATGAAATGCCATATATTAGTTCGTAATTTCATACCTGTTAAAGCTTCAATCCAGATTTCAATTGGTCTAGCCTCAGTTAGCCCCTTTAATCAAAATCATGATTGCTCTTGAGTTTCAATTGAACATTTCCAAACCATCTTATATATTTATCCCTTATCAGCTTATCTTTCCCATGGTTGAAGCTAAGACCTACAATAACTTCATATGCGTACACTTATTTATTACAGATATCTAATTCTTTAATGCATTGCTAATGATGCATCTAAAAATTTCCATTTCCATTTCATAATAAGATTTTGGATGCAGCTTTATATCAATGAAAGCACTTGAAAATCACGATTAGTTCTACAACTATGGTTCTTCGTAGTAAACAAGTGTGGAATGCAAGCAAACAACTAACAACTAATAGAACACTCAAACGTAACGATTTAGCCCCTGCGGAAGTTACATTTTATCATAAGCCTGATATACTATTTGCAAATTAACCCATCTTGGTGACTTGACTAATCATTCTATATAATGTAAGATAATCAAAATAATATTTTAGGAAGAATAAGAACACCTGAAAACATTTGAAAAAAAAAGTACTACAATTGGGAAAGGACATATATAGATGTTATAAATGAGAACTTACAAAAGACCTGCTAGGAATAGGTCCTTATCATTTATGAAGAAGTTAACTGAATTTGATGGAACACAAGTAAAAAATAAAAGAAAATCAGGTGTTCTCATTAGGGCCTGTTTGTTTCGCAAAAAAATGCAGAAAGTGGGGGAAAGAAATGAATTTTAATGTTTTTCTCTAGTTTTTTGATGTTTGGTGTTAGGATAATTTAAACACAGAACCAGAAAATAGAGAGACAATCACAAACACAATATTTACGTGGTTCGATCAAATTGATCTACGTCCACGGCAAGAGGGTGTATCACTATATTTCTTTCTCAACATACAACACTCATACAAAATATTGAGAGCTCACAGATTTCTCGTGTGGCTTTCACTCTCTGTCTCTCAAGCTATGTTCGTTGATCATTTTGATATCAGAGAGGATAAGGGATTTATAGGCTTCATAAGACCACCAATCACGCCTCATGTTTGTTGACAAACAAAAGAAAAACAAAACCGGCCTCTTTATTTGACAAACAAAAGATTTTAACTCGTGTTGAC